CGATCTTTTTCAAACTGGCTTGACCGGTCTAATGATCTTTTTACAAATTGTTTTTTTGGTCTTATTGTAGACCGATCCGATCTTTTTTTTTAAGATTTTTTATTCTTGCTCGGTTATATTGACGCACCCTAACTCGGATCCATAGCACCGATGACTCTATTCTAGATTGTAATTGGGAAGGGTTTATACTTTATATACTTTATAGTTAAAGTTAAAGAAATTGAGATTACGTGGCTAATTCGTAGCAGGGCGGACTATGGACTGGAATCCATGTCTGTTACTATGCCACATGTGCGTATATAGTTGCAGCTGAGGTCCCCACACACACGTTATATATATTCACTTTCCGTCTGCCCAAGCAAAGCATCAAAATCTATCTACTGCTCTCTTTCTCTCTCTAAACCCTTTCGAAATTTCTCTCTCTCACACACAACCCAAACACTAATTGTCTAATTCAAAAGTTGAATGAACAATGACTCGTCCGTACAGATTCCTGAAGACCGCCGACAAGCCGATGACGGTTGCGGATCCACCTGAGGCAGTAGCCGTCGAGTCAGATTTCGTTGTCATCCTCGCCGCTCTCCTCTGTGCTTTGATCTGTGTTGCAGGTCTCATCGCAGTAGCTCGCTGCGCATGGCTCCGTCGCGGATCCGTCGATACCGGCAACCGGATTCCCCGCCAGCGCTCTGCAAATAGAGGGTTAAAGAAGAAGACGATTCAAACGATTCCAAAGTTTACATATGATTCGGACAAGGAAGATAAAGGCTGCGGGGGATGTGGAAAGTTGTCTTCGAGTGACTGTGCGATCTGTCTGGCGGAGTACGTCGACGGCGATGAGATCCGTGTGCTGCCGCACTGCGGACATGGATTTCACGCTGGATGCATTGACACGTGGCTGAATTCTCACTCCTCGTGTCCGTCGTGTAGGCAGAATCTTGTTACCACGAGGTGCATAACCTGCGGTGAATTGCCACCGTTTTCCACCGGAAAAACTCCATTGGCGGCGGAAGATAAAGGTGGAAAGCATAGTCATAGCTCTAGTAGTTCAAGTGAAGATTTAGCATGACAGTTTCAAATTTGGAAAGAAGAAAAAACGGAGAAATATATCATCCGCCGCTGATGCTTAATTCATCGATAAATTAACCTACCTGATGATTGTGACGCGGAAATTAGGGTGGTCGACGGTGTACGTACGGGTGGTTTGATCTTTGGAACTTTGTAACTTGTTCTGTAATTAAAGATAGTTGCAGGGTGGGGACTCCACTTTTTCTCTAGGGCTTTGTGAGATTAGAATCCAGAACCAGAAGTAGCACATAGTTTTTCAGTTCTTCCTTCTTTTTCTTATCTTATCATCTTTTTTCATCTTTTTGTTTGGCATTGTAAAAAAAAGGTTAAATTAGATCTTGTCAAGTTACATCACTTTCATGTTTCAACTTTACTAGATTTTTCTTTTGGTGAAATAAAGTGAAATATATTAATCAAGTGAGCATATATATATTTCCAGACTTGTTGTAACCTAATGAGGATTACAATTGATGCCAACTATTTGTTTGATTATAGATTTCACTTTTATATCTTTGATATATGATAAGGTTTATGATGATGCAAACATACTTTTTCTCACAACTTTAAGTTTAGTCATATAAATTGTCACAGTGATGCTCATGTGAGGAAACTTCCTAATCCTTAAAATGTGAGGTTGAACAAATTCTATAATTATTTTTTATGATAAAAATAAGTACATTCGTGTCTTTTATACAGACGACATATTGAAAAGAAGTCTGAGTCCCAGTGTTTTCCAGCTTATTGGGTATCGATCTTGACGTAAAAATACATTAAGATGCAACGAAGTGATTTTAAGGGTTACTTTTGGTGATTTAAATTTATTTAGCATTATCTAAACGAAACATTTGAGATCGATCTAGAAACAAACAAGTTTGTTGAAGGAGCTATCTACGACGGTTGATAGATGTTTCTTCTTGGTAGAGGTCTTAATCGGGAAAACAATGTAAGGGAGGTTAGGTTTAAGGTGTAGGCCAAGAAATAAACATCTTTTGAATGGTGATAAAACAATGCCAACATCTGGAATTATAACATGATATTGTCGGGTCGCTATAATAATACCATAAATGCTTGTTACATAAAATTTTAATTTAGGTAATGCCTATCACAAGATTTGCTTAATACTCCCTCCGTCTCAATATTATTGTCCACGGACAAAAAACACACATATTAAGAAAAACATTAATTACCACTAACTTTATTTAATAAAATGACAGTTTTGTCCTTACTTTGCATTTAATGTTCCATTAAATGCTTAGTTTGTTAAGTAATAATGAGGGGTATTTTGGTAAAAATGTTATTTATTTTTAGAAGTTGACTATTATTTTGGGACAAACCAAAAAGGAAAGATGGACTATAATTTTGGGACGAAGGAAGTATTATTCTTTGCCAAGTGATTTTACTTTTCTACCAAAAAAAACTGGATTGCAATTTTACCATTATCTAAATAATGAGCATTTAGATATATGTATAAGGAATTACTTTCATAAGAGTAAACATAGCATGTAAAATCTTACTAGAAAATGAGGTTTTGCATTCAAGATTCCGTAGGCATACACACACTCGATTCATTCATAAAACCTTTGATACATTAATTAAAACAAATAAAATGTCATCACATGTAAGATATGACGAACATTGAAATGTCATATTTGAAAAAGAACATATAATCCATGTTTTCGTATGCATCTAGTTTAAACAAATTATCATCAACACACTTGAGCTCTACACGCCATCATAAAGATAATCCCTGAGTTGCCAAACTCCTAGACATGTCAATAAATGAAAACAAATAAGCCAACTATGTCAATCAATTGTCAAAGTCCAATCGCTAGACAAGTCAATAAATGAACACTAATAGGCCAACTAAGATTACTCTCCAACCCAACTTTATTATCCCTCTAAACCAAATTTTTATACCCATTAATTAGGGGTAAGCATGATGCAGTTTTATACCGCAATCGAACCGTAAATTGTATGCATCGGGTTTTGTAATCTTAAACATTACGTTCGGTTTTTCAAGTGGTGTGGTTTTATGGGTTTTTTCATGTGGTTTGATTTTAGTTTTAAATCATACAATGAAATTGTACGGTTATCTATAATTGTGCGTTTCTAAAACCGAAAAAATTATTCAAAGTTTTGCAAAACCAAAGACCCTAGACATTAATAATTTCAAAAACAAAACTTAATGATTAATGAACACTACTTTTGATTGTAACAGTGGAAACAAACAATCAATCAAAGACACAAATAATCAAATCAAAAAGGATAAGAATGGCCAACCATTACAATTTCTTTATTAACTATATATATATATATATATATATATATATATATATATATATATATATATATATATAGGCTTAGGTTATTGTATTCTAACTAATTATTGTGTGGATGTAGGAATGATTGTGGACCAATCATTTTACTTATTTTAAGAAAATGAATAATACATATTATTAAATTAAAGATAATTAAAAAATACCATCTAATTTCATTCTAATGGTATTCTAGTCAATTAACATAAAATTTAAAAAGGAAAATTGCTTATTTCAATGGATAATAGATTCTATTAACTTTAAAAATCTGATTGTAGGGATGATAATTCTTCTAATTCAGATATTCTGACAGAATATGTTTATAATATATTGAAAAATAACAAATATGCTTGAACTATAAAAGAATATAAATTATGACAGAATATATATTTTAACTTAATAAACTTCTTGAAGAATAACAAAATTTTGGATACAAGATAAATTTTTTTCATTACATTCTTAGAAAAGAAAAAAAAACTATACTATTCTATGATAATGTTACCTTATTAATAACAAAGAAATACAATATATAAATCATTATACCAGAATATACTATTACATATAGTTTTTTCATTATATTGTAGATTATTTTGCTAGAATAATTCATTCTTCTTGGAAGATTGGTGGTCATTGTTCATCTTCATCCCATACAATGTTATCCAGCCCGTAGGCCCTCCCATTCTCGTTGGTTCATTTCCAGCATCTTGACCCCTAATCCATTTCAAAATACGCTCACATTCTATGAAATTGACATTCTAAAACAAAATTCACACAAAACCATACAAAACTCTAATAAGAACATATCAAGAAAGAGATCAGTATGTAAGTAAACTTACGAGATTACATTATGTGCTGTGTTTGGTAATTCACTGCTTAAGTTAACTTGGAATTCAAGATTCTGTTATGATATAATCGGAATTCAAGATTCCATTCCAATAGAATGTTGTAAGGTTCATATGTACCCTATTTTGCTTCGATATCTCTCATTGTTTCAATTATCTAAATATAAAGAATAATCGACATTAAGAGGCATTAAAAAAACAAAACTAACAAGATAAAGAGAAAAATGACTACAAAATTGACATAGCAGTAACTTGCAGCTACAACATTTGCAGAAACATCAATAACATCAATTGAACCATTTTGAGTTCCCAAAGCGACTACCATCCTTTGAGATAAAATTATAAACTAAAAAGGAAAACAATCAGTTTGAAAGATAGTGAAATCAAAATTAAAATAATAAATTATACGTTAAACAGTGCAAGAATAAAAGCTCGATTGTAGTCACAATTTTACCCTTTGCATTCTTTCACTTTTTGAACCTTCACCACCTTTAAAATCATACTCTTTTTGCAGCCCCTGTGAGAAATATGGAATATATCAATATTATGTCCATGAATAGATTTGCAATTGTGGGTAAAAAGAGAATAATTGCAGTGTTAAGTACATGTTTGTGTAATAAACAATTGTCCCAAACAGCTTCATCATACCCTACATACAGAAAAAAAAGAGAAGATCCAATCAGTTTATGATGATTCAGGCATATGCACAATGATTAACAATCTTAAACATAATTGAAATTCAGTCACAATAAAGTGGAATAGATTCAAAGACAAGTAAGATCTTACAGTAATTTCCTTTTCTAATTCAATTGAATGGTTGCTTGAAAAAGGCATTTACATTTTCCACATCTATCAAATCCTACCAGACCACTACGACTCATAAACTATAACACCTTTCAACCTCCAACACTATACAGGTTAAATTCATAAGAATAAATGGAAACAAATCACAAGATGAAATAAACAAACCTGGGGGAAATCGAGGCAGAGAAATGGGTTTTTGGAGTCGAGATCTTTGAGATCGCCGAGCTTGCCACCAGAAATCGGAGAAATTAAACCTGGAAAGAAGAATAAAAACCAATTCTTCCAGGTAGATTACCTGAGTACATCTGCACCGTGGTGTTTGATCATTGTCTTGGAGGGGTTCAGAGCCAACGACGAAGCTATCGTCGGAGCTTTAGATAGTAAGTTCTTTGAAATTGCAATAGTTCACATATTCTTGAAGTTTTTGAGCGACTGGGTATGATCAGAACATCAAGCGGGGAAGAAACAACTTACAAGCAGGTTATGTAAACATCTTCAAATCTTATTCTGAATCTAAATCGCAATCAAATCAAATACCTTTTTGTTGTTTGGGATTTTTCAAATGATTTTGATCAATAATAGGAGTTGGGGGATGGATTCTCGTTGTCACAAACTTTTGATAGGGTTTTGCAGACAGAGGGGGCGCCGGAGGTGGGCGACATTGGTGGATGAAGGCGACGAGTGGTGGATGACCGTCGGTGATGACGGTAATTGAGGTTGTGTTGTCGGCTATTGTATTTAGGGCTTAAATGCAAAGTGCAGGGGCGACGTTTGAGTGTGAGGAGGAAGAAGTTGGGTAGATGTCTGTAACGCCCGTTTATTTAAATAAATAAATAAAGAAATTAATGAAAGTATAGTAGCCCAAAAATCAATAATTATATGGCAATGTGTTGGTCTCGAGGAGTTAATTGCTATTATTTTGGAAGTTGGGGGTTAAAAGTATAAGTTTCGGATTTATTTCGTAAGTATTTACGAAGACAAGGACTAAGTGGTAACTTCTGGGACTTCATTTGTAAGATTTTAGAAGATAGGGGCTGTAT